GGAAGTATCAACAGCAGAATGTCAGCAGCCTTTATCAGCAGCAGGAAGAAAAAGATGGTGAAGGTCAGGAAACACTGTGACTGTTCACATACTGGTTGGATTTCTTCATTGAAGCCTGTACCTAATGAGCTTGACTGATCTAGGAAAAAAGTTTAGTTAGTAATGGATTGGATAGTAAAGTGAGCTGAATTCTTAAATGGAAAGACTTAACATGATTGTGGGCTGGTCTGTACATGAAACTAAGGATATATACCTTGGGAAAAGAATCTGCTCATGTTCATTTTAAGTTTATATTATTTGTACATTGTCTTTTAAAAGAACCTATAGTTCCTGACTTGCCAAGCCAATTTGAAAATATGATGTACATGGCTTCTGTGTTTCATCAGCCACAATTTGAATAGAAATCTCAAATTCAGGCATAACAACTACATAAGAGAGAAAAAACCCTCTTTCTATGTGCTTGATTCTCTTGGAACATGACCTATTTCTATATTTTATACATATCCTGTAAATCAGATCTGCTGAATGAAAATTGTAATTCACAATACAGTTTTTTGAGGAGCTTTATTATGGCTGTTCAGGTCAGGAGCAAACATATTTTAAAGCTGAGAGAGATGGAGACCAAGAATGCAGTTAATAAGTTAAAAGTAAATAAGATATCAAACTTTGAAGTTAATATTTCTTTGTTTGATTATTTTATTACATTTTTGAGGCCATCTGATTCCAGGTGACTCTGGGAATATAGCAATTTAGAACATTGGTGGGGAGGGAATCTTATAAAACAGGCAAAAAGAACTGCACAAGTCCAAATAAAAACATACATTATAACAAAATACAATAAAGAGAAGCTCAGCATTCTCCCATAGGAGGAAGGTCTGGGAGAACTGCCAAATCTTTAGTAGAAGATACTGTTTGTTATTCATTCTGTTTTTTTCCACCCTGAACAAGGCCATTGTATTCATTATCATCATCTTTTCCTCTTTCTCCCTTCCAACAAATTCAGTTAATACCATCTTTTTTCATTTCTAAAGCCACATTGTGTAGATTAAACTCATCCACCTTTTTTAAAAAAAAATGCAGCACACTTTGGTTGTTGATAGATTGAGAATACAGGAATTAATTGTTACCTTGATTTTATTTATCTGTTAGTATGCCATGTTTTCTATGTTCAAATAGGATTACATAAAATTAAACACCATTTAAAAGAACAAAATATTTTTCAAAAATAGAGTTGTTAGTAGCAGCTCTTAATTAGTTCTGGGTAAAATATAATTGACAGCTGTTCTAATTTTATATGCTGACAATTAATAAAATCAACTATTTGCTGTCATCTAATACATTTTAACATTTAACTAGCAAACTTTGGGTGTGGGCTGTGTATTATGACAAATATAACCACAGGAATTTTTTTACAAACATCTTCCCCAACTTATTGGGATTGGCATAGCTGCTATTCTCACTTTTATCTATTTTACATATAATTCAAATAGAGCTCTTGATATCAGTAGAATAAAATCAACTTAAAACTCTCTCGCATATTTTAAAGAAATTATTGTGACACACAGTTATAATTTATAAGTTAATGTATACCATTAATGTTGTAATTTTAATGACAACTTAAAAACAATCTATTCTCTGGCCAATCAGATGCCATGGGGAAGTCCACAGAGAGAATCTGCTCTTATTTGCCAGCAACTTATACCTCAGATCCACTCTCTCTGATTCAGCAGGAACTGTGTGGCTATTTTATAGCCCTTGGTAGACTTATGCATTTGTTTCATCTATGAATTTGTCTTATCCTCACTGAAACCCAAATAAATAGGGGACCAATATCTTCTAGTAGGAAATTCATGAAAATCACCCCTTTATTGGCTATTTGTTCTAGTATGGATATTTATTTTGGTAACAGTGAAAACTTCTCATCCATAGTTACTCATAAGTTACTCGTCACATAGATGGTTCTTTGGGATTGCATCAGAAAAGATGACCTTTCCTCTCTTTGTACTTTGCTATACTGTATTTAAAAAAAAGCCTCCTTTTTTGTTTATGCTAATTGTGGTTGTATGAGAATATTATACTTACTCGCCTCTTCAGATTGTCTGAATTTTCTTGAACGCAGTTGTATTAGGGCTACCGGATGTGAGCTGAGAAAATCTGGACAACCATCAGATGGAAGCAAAGATACTAGGCACTATCTTTTTCCTGCCATTTCACACTCTTGTATCTGGTAGCATTAATTGTACAATAGAATGCTTTCTTATTTATCCCTTTAGTATTGATTTTCTTGTTTTGTTATATTATTTTAAAGTTGCATTTTTATTAGGCAATTTGTCTCTGCGTGGCAGTGAAAAAGAGGACTGGAAATGAAAATAATGTATGGTCTTAATTTTCTAGTTTGGAGGAAATGACTGAATGTTTTGGGGGGCTTGTCTCATAATCAACCTCTCAACCAGGTAGTCTAAGGTTATGAGTAGGCAATCTGTTTTCTTGTCATGGTTAAGAAATTGCCAGAGGTATCTCCCAAAAGCTTTACCAACTTACCGGTAGTAAGCCTATTAAAGACTGTTTGCTTCTTTTAGATATCATACACTATACTGACTACACAATGAATAAAATGGATAGATGTTTGGCTGTAGGACAACATTACATGATCAGGGGTGTCAAATTCAATTTCACTGAGGGCCACATCAGAATTATGGTTGCACTCAAAAGGCCAGGTGGACGTGGCTGGGCGGTCATGGCTGGGTCGCCATGACTAGGTGGCGTGGCTGGGTGGGCATGGACAGCTTGATGTTGCTCATGTTGAGGGGTGCCTGTGGGGGGGCAGGCAAGGCTGGGAGGGGGGATCTGGATGTCTCCAGTGGAGGAATGCGAGACCAGGGTGAGTGCCAAAACCTTGTCCACCAGAGGAGCCTTGCTGTCCCCTGGACATGAGACCGAAAGGGCCCCTCCCCGCCCACCTATCAAGTGGTGGACAAGAGCTGGCCTGTGGGATGAAAGGCAAACCAGCAGATGGGGAGATGGAAGCATGGGGTAACACGAGCCAAGCATCAGCAGGGGCCGGCTCCAGGTCACCCCACCACCATGTGGCAGGGCAGAGAGGGGAACGCAGCACAACAGTCATGCTAGGGATCTGGAAGGCTGGGGTCTCTCTGGAATGGTGTTTAGGCACCTCGCTAGGATGGTTGCTCATGATCACATTAGAGAAAAGTCACACCCTTGGAGAGGCAGGTGAATGCCGGAAGCGGAGCTGCAGCCTAGAATAGCCGGGCACCCGAGGATGCATGAGCCACCCCGTGGAGAAGGACATCTGTGCCCTGGGATGCAGGGCCGACAGAATGCCACAGCCCAAGCAGAGAGGAGGCTGGGTGCGAACCCCCCCCCCGAAGGAAGAACTGGGCACCCAGTTAGGATTGATGGTCCCCTGGGCTACCCGGAGCCCTGGGCAGTGGAGCACAAGTGCCCAGCCTGGCCCTCAAGCTCCCTTGCAGCCCAGTTCAGCCCAGCACCTCTTTCCCAAGGGGATGCCTGGCTGCGCTTACCTCCTCCTCAAGGCTGCTACTGTTGTGCTTGCTCTCCTTGGGCTGGCTAGGCTTCCCAGGCTGGAGGAGAGTGTAGGAGCAGTGGGCCTCCTGTTGATGCCACCACTATGGGGCAAGGCAAGGCAGGTGGTGGGGCAGGACAAGGTGGGGAGGCCTAGCTGTGGGGCCCGAGGTACGTGAGTGTGGTGCATGTGGGGCAGGGCTAAGCATGGCTTATGGGACGCCCCGGCTCATATCCAGCTGGCCATTGCTGTCCACCAATCAGCGGCTGAGGGGCCAACAAGCTGCAGCTGATGCTGTGCACTGCCTGCTCCTGCGTGCTTGCCGCCTCCTGTGCACATGCCCAGGAGAAGCATCTGGATCAGCTGGAGTGGGCCAGGGCTGAAGCGATGAGGGCTGGCCCCTTGCCAACTCCAGGGTGGCCCCATGGGCCAGATCTAAATCCATCGCAGGCCAGATCTGACCTATGGGCCTTGAGTTTGACACATCTGATCTATATAAACCCATCATACTATATTCTTTAGGAACAGACAACATTATTCAGGGTACAGAAAAGGCGCTGGAAATATTAAGCTGTATAAATTAAAGACCTGCAATAAGAAAAAAAAGCCAACATCATTAAAAACTAGCTTACATCCCTATATCTTGGCATATTTTTCCATTCTTGCAAATTATCTTTGCTTTTTTCCATTCATCCTTTCATACATGAACTTTTGTTCTTTAAGCAATGTTATGCTTATCATGTGAATGGATGCGCTGGTTCTAGTGGCATTTCTTCTGTCCTTTTGGATTATCTTCACACTTAATTAGCACAGAAAATGAAATATGCCAATTAATTGAGAAGTCTTTATGAATGCTCTGGGTTTGGATTTATTTATTTATTTTTTTAACAAAAACCAGACTTCCCTACCCTGCCATCCTCTAGATGCATTTGCACAACTACTCCCATTAGCTTCCAATGACACCTCCCCTAAAGAAGTGGGTAGGCATGCTGAGTTTAGCCCAAATACAACTAGAGGATGTGAGGATCAGAAAAACTGTCAGAGGAATCATAACATTGAAAATTTAGTTTTTCAAACATATGGCTTTAATATCCACACCCTAATGGTGTCCATTTCTATGTGAAAAAGTATACTTTGCCTTTTAATGTATATGCTCATGTTATTTTTGAATGTTAGTGCATCTATGTCTGAAAATAAAATAATGTATGCTTTGTGATAAAAGCAGAATAGATGATACTAATATGTCTCTCTTTCCCTCCCTCCCCCTCTCCCCTTCCTTCCCCTTTCTCCTTTTTCTATTATAAATCCCCTGAAGGCACAGTTAGCTGAACAAGTTAAACTAGCTCTTTCTGTCTTGTTTTGTTGGCAACTGAGAAGTTACTTTCTTATAAAAACAGAAGAGAAGCATGCTGATTGGATATAGTACTGGAAAGGATATGACATCAGCCATATTCCTCACTTTGTTCTGTGTGTCTGAAATCTGAAAATGTTTAGGTGTTTTGGTCACTGTTGACGGTAGCTGCAGAAATCCCTTAATAAATAACTCATGGAACTTGAATCTGGGTTGTTTTTGTTTTTGGCTGGTTTGTTTGTTTTAAAAGAGGCAAGTTGGAATTTGAACTCTCATGATTTCAACTTTGAAGTGGAATAACTGTAGCCCAGTATTGCAATGGATGTGGAAGAAGAAAATACTGGTCTTTGCCTATTTCGAAGTTCAGGAAGGATCACTCATCCACATTATCTACTTAATCTACTGATGGGTGGTAAGTAAACACTCTGTTATGTGCAGTTTCATAGCAGATGTGAAAAAGCCAGAGAAGTTGTGAGTTGGCGGTTAGCAGAATTTATTTCTTTAGAATATTTTTTTTTAGCAGAGAGAATAATCAATAAAAAGGATCAAATATAGAAAATACAGAAGAGTGTGCAAAAAAAGTTGCTAAAATAGAGATTTTTTTTTAAGGCTGGAGATTTACAAATGTAAATTGCATTACCTGTTTGACTTTTGCATTGCTTCATAGTATCAGCATCAAATATGAGAAAGTTGATTAGTTCACATAATTTGAACAATATCCTTCAGGGTCCTCCTCTTATGTATGATGTTTTGAATAATATTGGAGTTTGTGTACAACTAGGGATAATTCTTTCAGTATAATTTTGGAATTGCAGCAACAATGACCTTAGCATTCACCCCATAATGTCTCACTGTTGACTTTCTGCTTGCAAACTTCTTTTAAAAATATTTATTAAAAATGGCAGTATGCACATAAAATAATTACAATGATATGTTTGTGATCTGCAGTTTTATGTCGAATTTCTGTAGGGCTTCAGTGCTCTCAACAAACATATTGATTTTCTGCAACCGAAAATAGGTTAACCTTAGTAGTTATTCCTACTTATGGTTATACAGTATTCCATTTATCATTTCAATAATAGATGTTTATATAAATTTAAAGTTGGGTTATATAATCTTAAATGCAGTTTAATTCGAAAAGTTATATATTAAACAGGCTGCAAAAAATAAAGCAAAAAAATTTAAACTGGGAGAAAAGACAAATCTGAATCATGACACTTTTATAGATCTAGAAACTTGTATGGAAAATAGTTTCTTTATATTCAGTAGTCAGAAAGATTTTATTCCCCCCCCCCCAACTCCTGAAGATTGTAGCTTCTGAGAAACAAGGAGTTTACAGAAGAGGTATGAGATGATTTTTAAAAAAATGAGAAAAACAGTTCCATTCTTCATGTTCAGATTTTTTCTGAACCTCATTCTAAGGATGAGTCCCTACATCCTTAAACATTAGAGAAAAATATTCATATATTTCTGCCATCTTTTAATCCCCTAAATAATGTCTAAAAATTATAGGAAGGTTTCTATATAAAATTTGTGCATGTACACAATTCTTATATCTAGTGGTCAAACCACACTGGCAGGCTGAATTTGTGGTCTGAACACAAACAGTTTGCAAGGGAATAGTTTATAAGTACCATATATATGTGGTTCAATCCTTACAGTATTGTCAGAATTGGTGATCTGGTGATCTAATAAAATATCAGCCATTAAAAATATCAATTTTAAGCTATATATTATTTCACTTGGGCATCCCGTGCATACCACTGATGGTTCACATGTTGTATGATGCTCACTGATGATATTTTATGTTTTAGTATGAATGCAATTGAGCTAAAAGCTATTTTATAGCATGTATAAAAAGAAAAGATTGGAAACCAACCAATATAATCAACTCTTAAATATAAATACAAGAATACATTTCTTTCATCCTGTAAACATTTTACATCAATATGAAACTTAGCTTCCCTCTGTGTAGCATGTAAAACTTCCTACATCTGTCAACAATTGTGTATTGAAGAATTATAACTTCGATATTTAGTATATTTTTTGATTATTTTGTTTATACAGAGAGTTTCTCATATAGGGAAATTTCAGATATATATTAGAGGACCTTCACTGACAATTGAAATATGGCAACACTATTAATGTAGTAAAATGAACAATTATTAGAATAATGATTTGTCTGCATAACTGCAATAATGATGTGTCTGCATAATTGCTAGAATAATGATGTAATGCATAATCACTGGGAAAATTCACTGGGAAAGTTCTGTGTCAGTAATATGTGGCTAACCAAATGCGCATTGCACATGGATACTTTGTATGTAGCAAAACCTTCCATTGTATGCCCATGAGAAACGAACCAAATGTATTACAGTGTATTATCATGTGTAGTCCCTTTGTTCCTGAAAGAAGGGTAGTATAAAAACTGAAGTCTAATCCCGCCCTCCTCGTTCAGAATTGCCTATCTCTAATATGTCTCTGAACCTGCGCAATAAAACTCTCTGCTAAACCCCTCTGGAATTCGTAAGAGTTCTTTCGTTTTCCACAAGAAATTTGGCACCTCCAGATGGGACTCTTATGAAGAGGCCGTTGTCCTGCCAGACGGACTGCCCTGGGGGAAACCCCTCTCCTATCGGCGATATCTCCAAGCCGGGTCTGTGGCCTTTGACTATGGGGGGACCTCGACGGGAAGAGAGGGAATTTACCACCAGTGAAGCATTCCAGTCAAGGATCCACTGAGGGGAGCAGACAGGTCTTTTAATCCACAGGAGGGTCTGGAACGCCTGCAGGCAAGTATTATAAAAAGGGGTACCTGATCCCATTTGGATCAGAAGAGGGAATTGATCAATCCCTTGGAAGACAGAGGTGGCGTCCTTAAGTCTTCAATAGGTAGGATTGTGTGGGTGGTTAAACCATCGCATTTCCTGCTGAGCGGCCGTTGGAAATTCCGGGGCTCCAGGTCGATGGTAGTGTTTTAAGGTAGAATGGGAGGAAAACAGACTAAGGAGGGTGTTGGTCAGACGCCACTCCAGTGTATGTTGGCAAACTTTAAAAAAAGGGTTTAATAGGGATTATGGAAACCCAAGACCAAATCCAGCCATATTAAAAAGATTCTGTGAATCTGAATGGACCACCTTTGGCATAGGGTGGCCCAAAGAGGGGTCGGCGCACCCCGAACTCGTGGCACGGGTTCATCAAATTGTGACTGGAAGGGGTCATTGGGACCAATATCCCTACATAGACCAATGGCAGATTAATATTGCAGAAAAGCCTAGATGGTTAGCTAAGTGTCAAATTGAATGTGCAAAGATATATTTGGCAACCCAAAAAGCAAAACCTCAAACAAAACCTAAGATTCTGAGCCAGGAAGAAAGGGAGGAACTTGCCAGACCCCCTCCCTATGTTCCTAGAAGAGAAGAAGGGGGAATTCATCAGCAAACCCCCCCCCCCTTAGAGGCCCCTCTGGCTGAAAGGGATGAAGTCCACCTTAAACCAGAAGCCGGAGCGGAGGGAGAGATAAAAACAGAACAGGGTTCTCAAAAGCAAACACAGGACTTGGATAGAGATGAAAGAGAAACACCCGTTTCTAGCTGAACCAGAAATAAACACACCAAACCAAAGATAGAAGAAACCATAGCCCCTTTAAGAGAAGTTTTGGTTCCTGGACCAGACAACTTCAATGTCTCAATGCTTCAATATGTGCCCTTTACAACTACTGACTTACTTAATTGGCGTCAGCAATACGGGCCATTTACAGAAAAGCCTCAAGAAATAATAGAGTATTCAGTTCAATGGTTCTTGAACAGTAACGTTTACTCTTGACAGCAGATTTCTTCATGGTGTCTTGCAGATACCGTCTTTCCCCGAAAATAAGACCCAGTCTTATTTATTTATTTTGCCTCCAAAAGAGGCACCAGGTCTTATTTTCAGGGGGTGACTTTTCCATTCACCTCACGGTGGCAGCACTGACAGCTGGCCTACTTCTTCTGCGGCCAAAGGATCAGCTTCATTCTGCAACTCAGAATGGAGCTTGGGCCTGCATTTGGTAGTCAGGCCCTTCCAGAAGGCCTCTGTAGCTGATAACCGAGCAATGGATTCAATCCATAGCTCAGTTCTCGGCTGCAGAGGCCTTGCAGAACCAAGCTATGGATTGAATCCATAGCTCGGTTCTCAGCTTCAGTGACTTTCCGGAAAGGCCTCTGACTGCAAAATGCAGGCCTGGGGACACTGCAGAAGAAGTGGGCCAGTGAGGAAAGGCTTGGCTGCAAGGTAAGAGGGTGCGGGACGCATGAGGTAGTTCCACCACCCTGCCCTAGCTTGATTTTTAGGTGTGTGCCTCGCCCCAAAACTAGGGCTTATTTTTGGGGTAGGGCTTATATTAGCCCCCCCAAATCAAGCTAGGGCTTATTTTCAGGGTAGGCCTTACTTTTGGGGAAAGATGGTATTTTTCCATCAGTTCCATCAATGCTACTCTGCTGAACTGTCAGGAATTGAACAAGAATTCTCTTGTAAACTGAATTTAAGTATATATGTTATACCTAAGAATAGTCAATAAATTATAGAAGTGTATATCTCCATAGAAAGTAACTGCCTTTTAAAATTTCTTCAGACCCAGGTTCTTGCTTCTTTTTTAGCAAAAGTAAATTACGTGCTAAAACATATCTCTAATACTTCCAGTACAGATCATACTCAAAGAAATCATTTTTGTAAATTTTGCCTTGTGGCAGAAATCCTTCAAAGCAATTACTTTTTCTTACATTTTTCCTGTTATTTTAGTGGTAATTCTGTAGTTTGGATATGCCGATATAATCAGCCCAGGGTATTAATGGACTAGAATGAGGATATAAAAATTAAATGCTGACTTTGCATCTTTAACAAGAGACATGTTGGGAGGGCATGCCTGGTTTATTAACACTTAATCTTTCTGCCTAAGCAAATGATAGCCACAGAATATAGAGCCCAATTCAGTGCCCATTTTGAAAGGATATTTTGATTAATTTATTTTGACTGAGCTGGCACTATTGGCACAATGCCTGTTACTTTAGCCCGGAGCAAGACTAGTTTTGTTGCTGTCTTTAATTATTGAAACCTTTGAAATAGTTTATCTGAGCACACACTTTTATTTGAAAACCTTTCTCTGTGAAATCGGTTGTGCAATTGATCTTATAACTCCCCTACTTTAACTAACATAGTATATGATCCTCCTCATGATTAGGGACTTTGTTTTCTGGAAGTTCACTATGTAGAAAAGGTAAATGATGATAGCTCAGAACTAATTACTACTACCAACACAGATGTTAAGTTCTGTATTTATAGCTTGTTTGGAGATATTATATACCCTTGACTGAAGATCAGTATATGCCTGGGATGGTCGTCCTCTTCCATCAACGTCACAGCTTCGGGAGAGATGTACATGGAGCAATAAGAGAGGAAGGGGACACCTGCCTAGTCAGCCAGATTAGTTAAATCAACTCTGGTGATAAGTGGAGTGACAGGTTGTAGACAGATTGCCCTCACATCCAAATCAAGCCCTGTACTTATAGTTTAGATAGCAGCTGGGAGTGATGGGAATTGAAATCCAACATGCATGTGGGGTATCAAGTCATCTATCATTGTGATACCTGATATTCTTTCAACAGCACTGCATCTGCAATCACAATAGTAATAGTAATAATAATAATAATAATAATAATAATAATAATAATAATAATAATAATAATAATAATAATAATAATAATAATAATAATATATTGAAATTAGAAAGGCCACAAATCTGAAAGAAAATTGAGCTGAATGGGGTCATCTGATCATTTAGTTCACTTAACTAAAAGCAAGAATATTAATGAACATCATCCTTAAAAAAATGAAGTCATACCAGTGGTGGCGAACCTATGACACGGGTGCCAGAGGCGGCACTCAGAGCCCTCTCTGTGGGCACGTGTGCCGTCGCCCCAGTTCTAGGCCTTCAGCAGGGTTTTATAAAACGTTTTCGCTTTAGGCCTCTGCCGCCATGTGCAAAAAAAAAAAAAAGGTTCAATCAGTCAATTTCAACTTCTCACGGGAAAAAAAAGATTTTCCAAAGTTGGAATTGATTGATTGAACTTTTTAGTCCCACCCAGTCTGCCGTTACCACTGCAGCCACGCCTACCCAATAGGCCACACCCAGCCAATAGACCACACCCACCCGGCACTCGATGATGCATAAGTGGGTTTTGGGTTGCAGTTTGGACACTCAGTCTCTAAAAGGTTCGCCATCACTGGGCCATACTGTCCAAGTCCATGCTTGAAGTAAAAGACCATTTAAAATGATTAAAGAGTCATGAAATTGAAAGATTCTTTTAATTCTTTTTCAGGTAAATAAGAGGGATAACATTTTTGCTGATCTGTATTTCTTGTTAGCCTTTATTGTGGAATTGTGTTTCTTTAGCACTATATTAATTATCTGACACAATGTGAAAAAGAATTGTCAGATAGGAAATGTAATTTTTCATTTTTATCATCAAATTGAGCAGAAACCTAGTCATTACTAACTGCTGGTTATTTTCTTGGAAACATTTACAATAACTTTTCAATATGTTGTATTACTACTATACTGGCATTCAATTTGTTACTTTAGAACCAAATAGTTTATAGAATTTTAATGACCCATACACCAAGAAACTTAGATTCTAAATTTTGACATCAATGAAAAGGAGAAAATGAAGGAAAGGAAGGTAGAGATTATAAATAAACTACTGTGTTTTATGTAGCAGGTATTTAAGCTTAGTTGTAGGCTGAGTTCATGTGCAATGTAGCAGCTCAGGCACTGTATTAAGCCCTTGTAGAAGAGGCAGTCTTAGAAGTAGCATTTAGACGAATGGAGGATTATTTAACTTCTCTGGTAAGCAGGTTAGCCATACAAGACAGCAAGAGAGAAATAGTGAAGTTTTTTAAGTTCTTCAGGTATCGCTGTAGGAGCAAGGTCACAATTAGGTATTTTGTGTTATAAGTGGAGACAGAAAACATGGGTCATGGATCTAATACAGTACATTGGATCCAGGAATGGAAAGAAATCCGGAATATAAGACCTGATGTGGAATCAGAGCCATGCTTAATATAAATACATTTGATGAGCATATTTTGATGAGTCCCATTCCACCTCCCTGCCCATGTTTACATACGGAACAGAGTGTGTGAATGGGGTCTACTCATTGATGTGCCCCAGTTCCTGTTCACATTCAGAATTCTTGATATGAAATTCAGGAGCAAACTTTGAAACTCATTCCTGCCTTATGTCATGTGCATAACTCCCATATTAATGCCATGCATGAAATCTGCTATAGTTAAGGGGTTTTACATTCCTTCAGTTTTGTTGGAGGTAAAAAGCTGTGCCTTTTTTGTAAATTGTTTTCTTCACATTAGGCAACCAAATAAAATGAGCAGCATAGCAAAAGGCATAGAGATGGCAGCAGTCATCTTGATGACTGGCTTTTATCTGTTTCACCAAGTGTGATATTTTGGGTTTTTCCCCAGTTATATGGGTCTCAAGATAAGAATGACCTGCCAGGCAATAAAATATAATTGCCTTTGCTTATTGAAGCAGTATGAAGGATTTAATCATAAACGCATATAATCTTAGAAAATCCATTTAGTAGTGGGAGCTTTATTAAAGTATTATCCAAATTCAAGTATAGAGATCTACTAATTAAATTATATCCTTTTTCTCCATTTTCATACAGATTTTGTCTCTGACTGGTCTCCTTTACATGAAGCATCCATTCATGGGAGACTACATGCTCTGAAGAAACTCATCAATCAGGTATGGTGATAAAAAGAAGATCAATCTTTTGCTTATCCTCATCATTAATTTTTTTCTGAAGACAGGCTGTACTTCACAATATAAGGTTGACTGTGCTTTGACTTCAAGGAAATCTATATTGCAGTATTTTTTCTCTCTCTTTCTTTACAATATTTATAGCCAACTTTCTCATTTTTATTTACACACAAACATGTACATCATTAAAAACACTAGTATATCAAAGGTGCCATTGACAATCTGAGGGCAAGAAATCTGCTGAACAGTGCTGCTTTTGCCTTCTCACAAAGTAATTACAGAGTTAAGACCTGACTTAACTGACTTACAAAAGTGTCATCTACATATCTGAGCCAGAGTTTGGGGTGATCCCATAGGTGTTCCTTCTATCTGTTTGTATCTTTGTCCATTGTGGATGATTGTGGATCACCCCTCTCACCCGTCATCGCAAACCTATACATGGAACACTTCGAAACCAACGCCTTAGACAAATCTGAACACAAATCCAAACTCTGGCTCAGATATGTAGATGACACTTTTGTAATTTGGCCACACGGGAAAGAAAAACTGGACAACTTCCTCACACATCTCAACAGCCTACACCCCAAAATACAATTCACAATGGAAATAGAAGCCAACAACCAACTCCCCTTTCTGGACGTCCTAATCTACAAAAAACCCAATGGCTCCCTAGGACACATCATCTACCGGAAAAAAACACACACCAACCGCTACTTAAATGCACAATCCCACCACCACCCTGCACAGATCATCTCCGTAGCCAAGACCAGAACCAAATGCCTAGCCGACAAAGATCACCTGAAAACTGAATTACACACGCTCACAAACGTACTAATCTCCAACGGATTCCAAAGAAATACAATTACCAACCTAATCCAAAGGGAAACACCCCCCAAGAACCGAGACAAAGAACAGTACAATGACATCACCCTCCTCCCCTACATCAAAGGCACCACAGATAAAATCAGCAAAATTCTGCACAAACACAATATCAAGACAGCCTTCGGCACCAACCAAAAAATAGCCAACATCTTAAGAAACCCCAAAGACAGGATCCAGCTAGAAAACCAAGGAGTCTATGAAATACCATGCAAAATCTGCCCAGCCACATACATTGGACAAACTAATAGGAGAATAAATGCCCGCATCGCAGAACACAAGAACGCAGTCAGAAAAG